AAAAGCTTTTTTTTCTGAGAGCCAAGAAATCTAATTGCCAAGAGCTAGATAATGTCCATGTGATAGGAAGGTATTTTACTTGAACTGGCTCCGCCTCCACTGGGATTTGCTGGAGAATATTACATTGCACTATACAGTTATTTGTCTGATATTAGTAACAATGTCATACACACAGACTCAGTTATATCACCTTGTTCCCAGGGTTTCTTTACCTCCTGTTCATTCCCTGCAGTGCACTGATTGAGGGGTTTCTGCTGTAGTGTTATTATCTGAGAATACAAAGCAATTGTACATAAATCACCTTTCTGATTAAAAACCTGCTGTTTTCCTGATAGCACTTTTTGAGGTGCCCCACAGTGTTACGCCCAGCAAAGGATGCCCAGTGCTCAGGGCCTAATTGCAAGCCCACTGAAGCCAATGGAAAGGTTCCCACTGATTCCAATTGGCTTTAGCTCATACATGCACTTTGGTCTCCAGCCTCTCCAGAAGTCCATAACCATCTCCCCTCCTGTGTACCTCTGGGCTTTGCTACTATTGACACTGGCTGGTGCTTTCTGTCTCCTCCTTGTTCACAAACTCCATTTCTTTCTCTCTCTCTCTCTCTCTCTCTTTGCCTTCTACTCCTAGCCCCAAAATTGACTTGGTTTCCCTTCCCCTTCAGATTCTCCTCTTGCTCTGTGCTGTAGCTCTCTTCTTATCCTGGCACTGCCCTTCTCCCCCAGTTTCCCACTCTATCCTATATTGTCTGTTCTCCACCTAATACCCACCTTTCCTTCTTCCCTGAGCTGCCTCCCTCTCCTAGCTTCCTCTTGCTTTTTCCCCCTGTCCCTGGGTTCTGTTACAACCACACTGACTTCACTCTCCTCTTCCTCTCCCAATCTCTTTCCTGACCCTCAGTCCTCCTCTTTCTGTTTTGTCTCCCCCTACAAACCGAGGGTCTTTGTTACCTGCTACAGTGTCACCTGCCCCCTCCAAGCTCCACCCCTCTCTTCCCTTTCATCTTCCTTCAAATATCCTCTCTCTCCTCCCTTCTCTTTTTCCTCCCTCTGGGCCTGCAACCTTCAAGTCTACAATGCCTTTCCTCTCCCAAACCAGCCCTTCCATCAGCCACAACTGGCAGGAAGCCAAATTAGAAATGATTTCTAAGTCAAGGCCATCCTGGACTGATTTTACTGATCCAGCAGATTCCATCTTTACACCAGCAACCTCCATCTTAGACCAGACTCACAGGTGGTTAAAGGTTTCTCCTAAGGTTAAAGGTGTCTTTATTGGCCTTGCAGTTCCACAGAGTCATGTTATTGGGGCAGCAACTGGGTGATGGTAATGTGTGTGTGAGTCTCAAAGGACTGTTTGCCACTGGGGAGTGTGACATCACTCCATGTTTTAGGTGTGGAGGCCAGGAGAGACATCAGTAGGACATCAGCAGCAAGGCTTGGGGCACTTGGGCACATTCCTCCAATTCTGTTGATCTTTTGTGGAGATTTGTATTGGTTCTATGAACAATCCCTTATGAAGCCACAATGACAAACTCCAGGAACCTGCAAGTCAAGGGACTCCCCTTGCCCAAGAAATCAGTTCTCTCCCAGCTCATATAAAGCTCAACAGGCTTTGGAGGGGAACTCACAAACCAGCTGGAAGAGGAAAGCCATTTAAGAGCTCACACAAGAGGACAGGTGCAGTAATGCTTGCCAGGCAGGACCATGTTTGCATCTTGCCCCCTGCAACTGACCTGGCAACAGGCCAGTTGCTTTTTGGGCCCTGAGCCAGCAGTGATAATTATGGAGTCTCACTGAAGTCAGTGGTGAGTCCTGGCTGAGGAGCATGCCCTTGCCAGTATGAAAGCAGGCTCTTAAAGGTTTGAACACGGCTCAGTAAGGACTGTAAGTTGTTGCATTCTAAAAATTGCTTTGTACTCTTACTGGGTAGATACCTGGTTTGAAAGCCAGTCTTACAACTGGCTTCACTCATGTTAATCTCAGAGGAGGAGGCTGTGCTGGAAAGGCTATGGAGATGGTAGGTTGTACAGATCTCCCCATCAGGAGCATCCATTCCTTCTTTTTGCTCTGATCACCAGGAAACTAGGAAATGCTGACATCAAAATCATCCTCATAAAGCATCATGCTCAAGTCTATGCTGATTGAAGTGAGGCAGTTTATACCTCCACGAGTTATTGTTTCACTCCAGTAGGGTAAGGCCATCTGCTAGGAGGTGGGAGATGTGAGTTTGTGTCCGTTTAGGCATGTGAAAGAATTGACCTCAGGCCTCCTGGGTGAGTGCACTGATCACTGAGCTAATGAATACAAGGGGGAGGGAGGCCCAAATACTTCTTCCTCCAGCCATATTTTAAAAGAAAGGAGGGTCCCTTACTCTGTATTTTGACAGAAGGGTCTAGACACCTCCTTTCAGACCCAGTTGAAGAGAGGACAGAGGCACCTCCTGGTAGTATTGAGTAAAGTCTGAATTGAGGTGGGATTTAAGACACATCCCTGTTATCAGTGATTCCTCTTGCTTAGCTCAGGTGACTCAATGGGTTCATTTTGACAGAACCCCTTATGAGATTTCTAACTCTCTCCACACACACAGGAACTGCAGGTGGTTAACTCATCTCTCTGTACCCCAGGAGCCCAGCTGCCTCAGGCATGACTGCCTCCTACTCCTTTTTTGACCACGAACCACAGAGACTCAGCAAGTCCTCTCAGCTTTCTCTCAGAGGGACTAATAGTGACCCAGGACTGAAGGGAGTCTTTCATGTCCTTCCATCCATGCCTTCTCTTCACATCCCCATACTAAGCTTCTCATTACCACTTCTCATTACCTCATTTTACCGCTAATTTGTTGTGTCGTCTGGGATGAAGCCTTTAATCTCCATGCTTCTTAGATGGTCTTTCTACCAGGGCGCTAATAGCACCTTCCCCAGGGGCTTCATAATGGCTCGGAAACCGTTTTGAATTTCTTGGCTGAGAGGTGCTAAGTGCAATGCACCTAATTATTTTTGAGGTGAAGTGCACTGTATCCAGTTAAAAGAAAATAATCTCATCTCTTTTTCAGAAAATACGCTTCTGCTGGAGCAAGTCTAATGGCTGGCTTCTCCCGAGGGCAAACAGAAAGCTCCTGCTTTAGAAATTACAAACTGCGGGGAATGGCTGATGTGGGAGGTGGCCGCTGCCTTCTTCCCCTCAAGATGCGCCACTCCCTGCTCATTGCATTGGCTTGGAGCAGGTTGCATTTTGAGCGGGTGGATCGGGCTGCTCTGGGATCTCAGGTGTCTTTGAGTGTGTGTCAGCAAGTGTAGCCAGGACAAATTGCTTAAAAGCAGCATGGCACACAGGTTGGGACCAGGCTGAGGGGGCTACATGGCATCTCTTTTAGAAGCTGGCATGGGCGGAGTGAGCAGGGAAAGCTTCCCAGGGGCACTGTCATGCCAGCGCAGCCAAGTCCTGAGGGACTGGCCTGTTGTGGGGGTGCTGCCACCACTCTCAGCAGAGAAGAGCCTGACTGAGTGGGAAGGTCCTTGCCAGCCCCTCGGCGAGGCTGTTGCTCTTTTGTCCATACTGTCACCACTCCTCTCGGGGACACCTGCTGGTCTCCACAGAGCCCCTGCCATGTCACAACTCTTTGGGGGGGAATTGGGTTAGGGTGTAACAGGCATGGCCAGCCAGTTCTCCTGGTTCACTGACAGATGGCAGCAGTAGGCTCCCTGCCTTCAGGACCTCCATCACCTGGGGTTTTCTGGGCTGCTCTTTTCCTGTTTGCCCCCAGGTGTCAGCAGTGAGCTCCCCACGTTTCAGGAGGCTGGATTTACATAAGGAAACATCAGGGAATGTTTCTTTTGTCCGGTTTTCTGCTGGCTTCAGGGGAGCTTCATGGAATGAGAAGCAGCCTGAGCTTTGCCATAGAGCAGAGACAGGCTGGATCTGTCAGTGGATTTGGTGTAAAAGGTTTATTTTCAGCTTTGGGAAATAGTTTCCCTCTTCTAAAGCAGGCAGGAAGGCAGGTTCTCTGTGCAATGGGGGAGATGCACTGATGTGGTAGAAAGCAGACACTGGTAGAGTGTGGAGCAGGGCATTCCAGGGATGGCCTGGTGTGTCCTGGCCCATCCTAGCAGGAGAATGGCAGGGACCAGGAAGCTTCCCTGCCTTGCAGAGCTTAGTGATCAGCCCCCACAGTGACTGATTGTTTATTATCACCAGAGGCCAGGGGACCACAGACCCTTACCACTGCATTGGTTTGCAGAATGGGGCCAACCCACAGCACCAGTCAAATGGCAGTGCAAAATAGGCATGCCTGTGCTAAAGAAACCTGCTTAGGAAAAATCTCTAGTTCCTCCTCCCCAGGGGTTAATTTTGGTCTCCTTGTACCACAGTAAATCTACCCAAGTCAGAGGAGTTTTTCAAGTTGATATCAACATGCCCAAGAACAGAATCTGTCCACGGGTGTGTGCCAGTTTCCACGCCCACTGAGTGCCACATTTATACTCTTTTACCCTGACACATACTCACCTGCCATTTTCTGCTCCGTTTACCCCTTGTGTATTAGACCAGTACTCAGCTCTTCAATAAATGTGACCCAATATACATCTTTCTCAGTCACTGGAATTCACAGCTTCTAGTGCTGCCAACAGACTGGAATCAATGGGTCACTAAACTGTAAAATTGAGTTGATTTAGAGCAACATGTCGTGTCCATAATTCATAAACGGGTGGAAGTCGCATCCTTCTCAGTTGTGGCCTCTGATCATGTAACATAATTACTGTAGTAACCTAGCACTACTGCTCAGCGTTCCTGGCTGTTTCTCATGATTTTCTCCTGCTGGCTATGGCTGCCTCTCAGAGTTATATATGTCTGGGGGAAACTGACACTGCACAGTCTGGGCTGTTGACTGTCTTGATTCAGTGTGATAAATATAGAAGCCCCATAACTGCTAGAGAAATCTTGCAGGCATTTAACAGGGGCTCCCCATGACTGACAAGCACACATTGGCATATATATTCAGCCACTAAGGATGACCTTGCTGTTTGTTAGTCTTTATGAACAGGTTCCTGCTCTCGTAAGGCAGCAAGGAGGGTGCTTCCCTATCTAGGAGTTGTCTTATTTTCTTGGGGACTTCAATACAGTGGATCATGTTGTAGGTGCAAATGGCATTAAGTGGAAGAGGAGCTTAAGTGCGGCCAGGATCCTGTTGCATGATCTCAACCTTCTGATGAAAGCAAGTTATTTTTTGATCTCTTCCCCAGCATCTAAGTCTTCTTTTCAAGGTCAAAAAGCAACGTGTTCTATCTGGTCCCACTTGATCCCAGCCACGAAGAAAAAGCAGAGGTCTCTTATTGCTTGCATTTGATTTAAAGGGCTGAACCTGCTTTCTGTGAGCCTTTCCTTACTTACTTAGATGGAATAAGTGACGGGAATATGGAATTAGACTGGGGTGATGGTTCTGCTTGGGAGCTCTCTGTGCTGGGGTGGCACATGCTGCACTGATGCAGCTTGTACTGCTGAGCCCAGGTGTAGCTTCCTACATTACTAATTGTTCCATTTCTCTACATTTCGCATGAAGCCATGGACATGAATGCTACCTCCAGAGGGGCTGAAGGCCAGCCTGGGAGCCCCCACCAGAAACCGGTGAGTGTATGGGGGCTGCCCATGCTAGGAAACAGCAAGAGGGATGCAGAAAGGTGCTAACTATAGTGATTTTGCATTAGGGACCACTCCTCCTCCCTTTTGTTATTATAGAGCCCAAGCACTTGCCATTGATCTGTGGTGACCTCAGGCTGGAAAGCCAAGTTGCCTGAGGCAAAGATAATTGAGCAAACAAGCCCTGCTCTTGCTGCTGTAATTTGGATGGATTACCCCTTTTCAGTGGAGAGACAGGGACTGGGTTGGGGGAAGAGGGGAAGTCAAGTGCTTTTAGGATTGAGGCACAAGAAATTCAGGGCAAAAACAGCCTTTAGAAGAGCAGTGAGCTCTGCCTCTAGCCTCAGTTCCATTCCAGCTTGCCCATCGCCTGCTCTACAAGGGTGGTAGAAGATTTGTTGGGTAGTGAAGAGGAGATTTGGGGCTGAGTCAAGTCAGTATCCATCTGGAGTAAGCACCATTGCGATTATGGGAAAAACTCCTTATTGTGAACAGCAGCTGGATGCCACTAAAGCTCCCCTGAAGTCCACATTCCTGAAACGGAGATCAGAATCCACCTCTGGCTGTTGCAGATCTAAAGCAGCACAGATGTCTGCCTTGTGTATCTGCTTCCCAGGAAAAGCAATTCCCAGGAGTGGGGAGACAGAGGGCCCCTGCACCAGTGGTTGGTTACGTCAATGCGGCTCCTGGGCTGAGCACTAAAAAACCTGTTTCACGCTGACTCCCTGCAGCTACATAGTGGTGTGAGCCTGATGGGCTTTGCTCCTACCTCAGGTAACCCAGACACACTTGATACAGTAAAGTACAAGCTGTCCTGAAGGAAGCCAAAAGTGTTGTATAAGTGGCTGGCAGCCTTTCCCAAGGCAGCCCTGTTGAGTGGATCAACTATCCAGGCAGTGCTCCCTGGCCAAATTGGCCTTTGGTGGGGCATGCTGGGTGCTATGAATTAAATTCATGCACCTTGCACCAGTCTGCAAAGCTACATTTCGCCCTGGATTCTGCCACCTTCTCAAGCCCGGTGCTGAGGACAGCAAGGGGGCAGAATGGCTGGAGGAATGTTGTGCTCCATTCTTACCCCTCCACCTCCCAACACCCTGAGCTGCTTCTATACCATATGGCCAACCCTATACTTCTACCCAACCCCATGCCCCAGCCATGTTTCCTGGGGAGGTTTATGCTGACAAGAGCCAGGGCAGATCCCAGAATTAGGCTCCAATATGGCCTGTTATTCCAATCAAACTGGACAGGGCTGTTAGTACTTGTTGGATATCTGCTACCCCTGGCCCACTGGCATTTAGAGAAGCCTTGCAACACCTGTACTGGCTGGTGATAGTCCCACGGTGTGTGGTACAGTGGTCATCCTCCTCCTTACTCCTGCAGGGTGGGCTGGCCAGGGTCTGGCTGTGCTGACTGTTAGTCCATAGTGGTGCAGATTGTGCAGAACAGGAGAGAGGTTCTAGCCCCTGTCACCCTGTCACTGGCAGCTTGAGCCAGCTGTCCAGCAGAGGATGTTGACGCCACACTTGGAGTATTCAGCTCTGGCAGCAATCGTTTATCCCATCAGTACTGGGAAGTCTGGATCCAGAAGCGATTCCTCCTTGTAGGGCCTCAGAGGAGGGAGATTCTTTAATGACAGGGGCTCATCCAGAGAGCAGATGATTTTAAGACCAAGTTATCCTGTGGTAGGATTTGTTAGTTGAAAGGTTAATTAACAAAGGGCACAGGTGGAGAAAGGTGATTCTTTCACAAGTGATGTGCAGTGTGGGCTCTCCAGTGAGACTGGAATGGATGTAAGGGCTTCTGGCCCCATTCCAGGTGCCTGCCAGTGACTGTTAACCATTTATATTGTGGTAGCACCTGGGGCCTCTGAGAGATCTGGCTGTGCTGTGCTAAGCATGTAGGAAGAGAACATCCCTGCCCTGAGGAGCCTACAGGCATAGCAGGAAAATGAGGCAGGGGAAGCCAGGGCACATAGGAGTGAAGGGTGTCTTTACAGGTGCTGTGGGGTGGGTGAGGTGCTTTAATTAGTTCCACTCTCTGGAGCTACTCTGAAGTGCCTGCAGTGTTGTGTGTATTCAGCATCTTACACTTCAAAATGGTGTGGAGGGGTGCTTTTACTAAAGCTTATTCCATGAGCTTTAGTTAAAGCGCCCCCACTGCTATTTTGAAGCACTGGGATACTGAACATGTGATTCCAATTAATTGAATCTGCTCAGATGCATGCTAATTAGTACATGTTGGAGCAGGCATCAGGCATGTGTATAGGTGCCCGAAGTGACCTGGGCAATGCTACCAGCAGGCCAGTGGCTGAACCCAGGACCACAACCCAGTTGTGCTGAGAGCTTGCGCAGGCCCCTTGCATAATGCTCAGGTGGTGAAGGTGGATGAGATTGCTGCCCTGCTGGCTGCAATGACATCTGAGCGATCCAGCATGTGTGCCTAGGAGGGGGCACCATCCTTCCATCCTCAGTCCATCAGCACTCCAGGATCTGCCGGCTGGTCTTCACAGTCCTGGGCAGTGGTGGTTCTGTTCCATAATGTTTGATCTAAATAAAACCTGAGGGCAAGACTGAGTGTGATTTCAGAAGCAGGGAGTTGGCTGGAGTCCTGAGATCCAAAGAAATAGTGGCAATGGCTGTTGGTACCCGGCATCTAGGGCCAGAAAACGTGGTTTGTAGTTCTGGCTCTGTCACTGGCTCGATGCCTCACGAAATCTCCATTTGCACTCCCAGCCTCTACCTACTTACACTGGGCGCGTCTGCACAAGACACTATGTTGCCATAGTAACAAGCTATGGCCATGTAGCTTGTCACTACAGCGACATAGCATCAGCGGGCACAAACCGTGACACTGACACTACACCACAATACCAATGAGCTGCTGTGCAGTAGGGGCAGAAATGACCCATGCGCCGCCCAGACTGCGCAGTAATGGCGGTTACTTCATAGTCATTTAGTACTTGCTAAAGTCCGTACTAAATGACTGTGCAGTAACAACTGCACAGTCAGGGGCACGTGTAGACATGCCCACTGTGTGATCTGTAAAGCAGAGATCCTCTCTCCCACAAGTCTGTGTGCAGCCTTGATCTCATGTGGGACTTCTCAGTGCTAGTGACTAACAGCAATGTGCCTGCAGGCTGCACAGACACCGATAGGCAGCCGTCTGGTCTGTTGCTCAGCAGATCCAGCTTTTCTTGCTCTGTGCTTGGCTCCTTCCCTGCCCACCCCACAAGGTACTGCTGATTTCTTTTTCACCAGGATTTTTTGTCTGTTCCCTAGTTTACATGTTTTCTTCTTGCCAAGGTCACTGTTAATAGCTCTGCAGTCCAAGTTCTGCCTGGGCAGGGATGGTGTCATCCCAGCAGAATCAAGTGCTCAGACTTGGCTCCTGTTTAATTCTAGAAGCACAGAGGAGTGTTAAGAGGTTCGCACTGAACTCTGCTCTGTCCTGGCTGTGCTCCATCTCTGTTCCTCAAACTGATTCCAGCAGGAGTAGGTGTTGGAGCAGGGTGTTGGTGATGCCACTTGCATCACCTGGAGCAGGGGCGGGCAATTATTTTGAGCAGAGGGCTGCTTACTGAGTTTCTGCAAGTCATCGAGGGCCACATGACAGGCAGCTCAGGGCAGATTAATGTTAATTTTCTAAATTTTTTAGGGGCCCCATGGGCTGGATAGAATAGCCTGGCAGGCTGCATCCAGCCCCCGGTCCGCATTTTGCCCACCTGACCTGGAGGATCCCCTGGGCAGCTTCCTATTCAAGGCAAATGCCAGCAGGCAGCTTCAAAGCCTCCTGGCTTCTTGGACACAACCTCCTCACAGGCCCCTCCAGCTCAGAACAGATCCTGTCAACCCCAGGGGTCTGTACAGACTGGCTGTGCTTAAATCCAGTCTGCCAGTGCTTAAATGCTTCCCTCCCAGTTTGGAGAACTGCAGGAGAAGCTGAGAGCTGTCTTGTAAAGGAGCAGCATCTCACCCCCAACACACAGCTGGCTGGCAGCTGCTGATCTGGGGTTCTTGCATCTTCTCTCTATCAGCAGGGCTGGATCCCGCAAGGTGTGGAGTCCTCTTAGCACCCACTGGGAGTGCAGAATGATACGCTGATCAATGTGGGGGCCACTATCATCATTGCTGGCCTCACACATTGATTCCCTGCTTGTCTGTTTCCTCTGGCAAATCATGAAGCTGTTCCACACATCAGGGGCCAAATGCTCAGCTGATGTAAATGGCTCATTGGAGTCAATCGAGCCAGGCCCATGGAGGAACTATCTTGCTGCCAGATTTACTGGAGACATTATCACAATTTTATCCCTGCCAAGATGCATCCATAAAGGGACAGTAAGGGATATGGATCCAAACTCTCTGGGAGAGCACCAGACTGCCCCCTGGTGAGTCGGGTGAAGTATTGCCCCCCCCAAGTTTTTAAAGAGTTCTTAGCTAATTGCTGTGCATGAGTCATCTTCCCAGCTCAGGACATGATGGCTCTGTGAATTGCAAGAAACAAAGGAATCAGCTGACTGAGAGTTTAATGTTGGCTCAAATCCAGCTGAGAGTAGCTTTTCCCCAAGCATTTCTAATTGGCTTCTCTTTGTCTACTCTCTGGATCCAAGTAATCTCCATCACATTACAGGTGGTCTCAGAAATGCTTCCAAAATATCAGTTAATAGCAATTTTTTTTAAGTGAGAAGAAGAGAAGGTTTCTTTTCTTCACTTGCTGTGCATTCTGTCATTCAGTTGGGATTTTGATACCAGGCTACAGTCCAATCTTATACAGTCAGAAATGTATGGAGCTGGCTATAAAATCCCCTGATCCTATCTCGGTCCAAAGAAATCAGTTTTCTGATGCCTGGTCATTGTCTGTTGTATTAACAAGAAGCTAACTTGGGGAATAACTAGATATCTGACAGTAGGAGTTGAACAGTGTGTTCCTCCAGATTTACAGTGGAATTCTAGCTCTTTTACATTTAATGCTGCAAGAGTAGCAACAGTTAGATGCACACTGTGCATCTACATCTGTAGATGTGCATTGTACATCTACAATAAGAGATATTGGGCTGGGTTCCCAGATGGCATAAATCAGCAAAGTCCATGGGACAGTGCTGATTTATACCAGTGCTAGGCTGGGCCAACTATATCCACTACTAAAAATACTGGGGTTATGGTGAAGGCTGTAAAAGGCATAACTTTCACTTACATTTCTCAATAACTTGTTACACAGTTTTATGATTGCCAATCAGGGGGAATACTGAGATGGTGGCTGCATAGCATACTCCAGCTGCTGGAGAGATCTGACTTGTTGGAAGTTGTGCCCAAAGAACATTTTTTATTTCCTCATCTCTTCAATAGGCCTTTTTAAAAAAAATGGGTGACTTATGGAGTGCACAAGAAGAGATCTGGATAATGGGATTAGCAGCAGGTGGTGCCTCTGAGGGGAGTTGTTTTCCCTTGGAAACAGAGGAATTTTTTAAATAAGAGTTAATGAAAAGCCACTGAACTTGAAGCTCCCAGCTGCTATTGGGAATCTCCCTAATGGCATTCCTGGGAATCTCCCTAATGGCATTCGTGAAGCCCCCGGATACTTATGATTTATAACAGCTAAACTCCAACAGGTGCAGATGGACAGCATGTTAATCTGATCCCTCAACTTTAACAAGGCAAAGATCCCCTCTGCATTGCTGAGAGGCATGCACAGTTGGCTCCTAGACAGAATTGTCTAGAGCAGAGTTTCCCAAACTTTTTCTTATTGTGTGCCCCCTTCCAGATTTACCAGCTGCCTGCATACCTTTACCAGCATACGTTTTATATTTTAACCCCTTAAATTCCAATTATTGTTATAATGAAAATTAAATCTACCATTATACATTTTTCCCGCATACCCCGCCCCCCTCCAGAGATGTCTTGCATACCTCCAGGGGTATGTGTACTACAGTTTGGGAGCCCCTGGTCCAGAGGAATATATGTGTAAACTATAGCCAGGTCCAAACCAAAACACCATGAAGTTATGGGGGAATTAGGTCCCAATCCAGTCCTGAACTTGTTTCACGTTCATCTGTAAAAGATGCAGATAAGACCGAACACTAAGCATTTGGAGCCATTTGGAACTTATTCACTAGCCAAACTTCTCAGATCAGACCCTTCTCAGTGAGATGGTGCAAAAGATGTGAACCCCTTAATTTTTAGAAAGGCTTTGAGCCAAACCAGAAACCAGGTGTCTGGCTTCAGGACCACCTTGAATGTAAACCTCCTTCTTGGATGCGTTGGTAAATCATGCTGTCTTTGGATGTGTGTTATAAAAAGGCTTTAGTGAAAACTGTGTGCAATGGAGTGGGTTTTCTTTGAGAGCCCTTACAAAACATCATTTTGGCTTCAGCCAAATTCCTTCCCCAAACTTTTGCTTAGCTGTAGTTCAGACAAGCAAGAAGAACATGGCTGAAGTTCTAGGTTGACGTCAGAACCAGGTGGCACTACCAGCTTTTGTGTGGTATTCTCCTGCAGTCCCAGTTCAGGTGGCATCTGACATATGTTTCCTTGGAACCATGACCAGACTTATTTCTGAGAATGGTTTGAGGTTGATCTTGGGGTCACTCAAGCACCGAGTTCAAAGGAAGGTTCTTCCACATGTGTAATGAGACATAACACCTCCCCGTAGTTTGGGTGTCATGAGGGAGAATCCTCACAGCTCATCACATCACCGTCACCTTCAGCTGGAAAAAGATACTCAGAGTTGTGTCCACAGCCTAAAATTATGAAGTCTCCTTTTACCAGAGGCTAAGATGGCTCAAACTTTCCTGCTGTTGTAGAGGTCCAGATCTCTAGAACCTCATGCAACCCAAAACGAATGACACAAGCATATCTTCAAAGACCGCAAACTTACTTGCATGCTGAGAGAAAGAACTTGGAAGACTTAGTTTAACAGTGTTCAGTGGTGACTCCTGTCACAAATTCAGTACATTGTATTTTTTACCACAGAGATACATAAGAGAGCTGTAAAAACACTCTCCCATCTTTTAGAGTGTCTTTTAGAAAGTTCACACAGATTAGAAATGAATGATGGGATAGTGCCCAGTTTAACAGCGTTATTGTATGTCCCCTGGAAAAATGAATGCTGGGATATAAGTAATTCTAAATGACTTCAGCCAGAAAGCTGTCTCTCCATAACACAGGAGTGATGATGGGAAAATGGAAATTTGAACCATTTCCAGATAGTAAGTGCTTTTGCATTTATTTTTGGCCAATGAGATGCTTACTTTGTTTGTGGGGCTTGTTTTGTAACTATTCCAGGAAAATAAGCAGGAACAGCAAATGCAGAACTCCGGCAGAGAAGGGAGAGAGGAAGTGATGGCGAAGAAAACTTGGGCAGATGTAATTCAAGAAATGAAAAATTTCCTTTGGGATCCAGAGAACAGAACATGTCTGGGAAGAACAGCTAAGAGCTGGGGTAGGTTCTGTGCCTCCATTCCTTCTCTGTTCTTTCTCACAAGAGATTCACTTGTTTGTCAGTGTCCTTGCTAGGATGTAGCAGAGCACATACAACCTAAATCCTGTTATTTTAAGGGAGCCACACATATCTTTCTAACAGGTGGCTTTATAGAGAACTGTAGGATCCCAGCAAATTAGTGTCCTTTTAAAAGCATATAGTCCAGGGAAAGCCACCCTCATTATTGAGCCATTGCCTTTAATGTTATCAAGTTAAGGGGATTAAGGATCATGCCACTGAGACATGAGTATTTCAGGCACCATAAGTGAGACTTACTGGTGATCAAAGATCAGTGTTAGCCCCAGGCTCTTTTTTTACGTGTGTTCAACTCCTATCAAACAACGTAGTTTATTGCAGCTTTATGGCCAAATTCTGCTCTCAGTTAAACAGGAGTTACAAGTCAGTGGGATTGGGTTTCTGTCCCTTGGCCTTTGTGTTTTAATAGCTGTTTTCTTTAACATCCTTAAAAACACCAAGAGCCAGAGAAGAATTAAACCTCTGGTGCTACCTAGGAGTGGACGTGAATGAATCTGAGAGTGTTTAATCATCCTGTGTATTCACCTGGGAGTGGGGAGAGCTGCTGCCTTGTTGTAGGCCCCTGTTGTAGGCACTGAAGTTAGAGCTGCCTTCCCAGACCAGGGCTGATGGGTGGCATGGAAGCTCCCCCTGCTGCTGTCAGTGATGTCCACTCTGTGGAGACATGGAGGATTTCAAATTCTAGGACAGTGGTTCTCATCTTTTTTTTGCCATGACCCGCTGCTGGGAGTGGAGTGCGGCAGAGGCAGCAGTCCGGGGGCGGAGGAGCTCCCGGCACGCAGCGTGGTTCATCCTTTGTGTGCAGCACCCCCAGCATTGCCCCCGCGACCCTCATTTGGGTTGCAACCCTAGGTTGGAAACCACTGCTTTAGGAGGCCAAGCTGGCCTTTTTCTGTAGCACTGAATGTGCTGAGAGACAACACTTAAACAAGCACCAAGTAAGGTGAGTGAAGATGATTTTGGAGACACTTAGAATTGCAGCTCCCAATTCCAATGCCTGATTTTCAGAACATGCATGTGACTACCCATCTAATATCTTCATTTGGACACAAGTTGGGTTAAGTGAACAGTAGCCATTTAGGTGTCTTACTGACTGTTTGTATGTGCTGTTTATAATGTGATCTATGTAGCTAGGCTGAAAAATCTGGACCAAAATGTACATGCAGGGCCATTCTGATGATTGTGCATTCATAGAGGAGATTCTCATATCTCCTGGTATGCCTCTGTGGCGTAGTGTGTCAAATGGGGCCTTGATAAAATGGTTTGGATAGGGATGATTTGGCCTCACGCAGGGGATGGACTAGATCAGGGGTGGCCAACCAGTGGCTCCACATGTGGCTCTTCAGAAGTTAATATGCATCTTCTTGAATCTTTGCACAATCGCACGGTGACCCGCTTCCGTAGCCGTTACGTCATGTCGTTATGTATTACTGTGGCTCTTTGGCAATGTACATTGCTAAATTCTGGCTCCGTCTCAGGCTCAGGTTGACCACCCCTGGACTAGATGACCTCTTGAGGTCTCTTCCAGCCTTACTTCTCTATGACGCCTTGGGGAAGCATTACCTTTGGTTAACTTAGATTTCAACGTGCAGATTGTGGAGTCCTTTGATATGTGCATCATTGCCCTTGTAGAACAGGCACGGCTTAGTGGGAGTCTAAATCACCTCATGGTTACTCCACTGTAAAACAAAAGTAACTCCATTAATGTGGGTGGCCAGGCCACAATAAGTTCTTACCTACATGAGTAAATCAGTAGCGCTGTGTGGGATTCAGGGAAGCAGGATCTGACTCCCTAGCTAGGATTTTCTTTGACAGCATTATCCACCACCTCTAAAAAATTATACTCAGGCCAGAAAGCCAGATGGAAATGATTGAAAACAGGCACTATGGGACTGTGACTGAGAGCAGGTGCTACTCATACTGCCCCAGTAGCACTGCTGCTGCAGCTTGGTCTAGGGCTCAGTACTGACAGTATGCATGATGCAGTGGGCTTTTTCAGCAATGTTTTCCTGGCAACTTGTTCACTGGCTTGAAAGTGATTGGGTTGGGCTCGATTTTAAAATCAGATGCATTTTGTGTTGCAGTAATACTGCTGACCTCAGGGCAGCAACTCTGGATTTACCTCAGCTCAGTTTAGCCAGTGATATTCTCAGGCATTTGCAAAGTCCCAAAGCAATTGCAGACAGTGTGATGATCAGCAGGTTTTTTTTCAAAACACAAAGAACAGGCAATTTGGCAACACTGAGCACTTGGCTCCAGTAGCAAACAGACAAGCCTTGCAACTTGTTCATTTCTCTTGCCAAGTTTTTAGTCTCCTGCAAAGCCCACAGTGACTGTCCTCACATAAGCCAAGAGACTTATTGTGTAAAATCAGCTGCAGCCAGAACAAAAAAGGATCAATTTACAGCAGCTGTAAAGCTACTCAGCTAGTGATGTGATTCAGGGGTCAGCCAATGCTATGTGCTACAGTGCAGTCAGATGACACGTAAGCTGTCCCAGTTGCATAGGGAGTCTGGTTTGGCAATGCTTATGGCAGATGTAAAATGAAGACACTATCGCTGTGGATTGAATGATGGTGGAGATTGCCTTTAAAGAACTCATACACAAGGACCAGTGTCAGGTTGGACACACACAACCGAAATGGATATGTTGACTAGAGCTGCAAGTTGTTTGCTGGGGCTGGAGTGTTTTAATTCACTCAAATCTCCTGTGATTCTTGAAGCCTCAAACACTAATTTTCAGAGAATTTGGCAGCTTTGGCTCTTTTAAATAAAATTATAAAAACAATTCTATGTAAAAATAAGACTACAAAATATACCTCACTCCCTTCCCCCTCCCATGAATGTGTTCCAGGTGCTGAATAATAACCATACATTTTATAGACATTGTAATAATTTTGTAACCAGCACATAAGAATCATAGAGAATGAGGGGGCTGGAAGAGACCTCAGGAGGTCATCTAGTTCCAGCCCCAAATGCTTTAATGTTCTGCACACCCATGTGTTTATTATTTAATGACACATGATTTTATTGGTCTTTAGCATCCCAGAACTGAGCAACGCTTCGTACCATCCACACACGCACCCACTCCCACACAGGTACCACTCTACACAGCACAAGGAGCAGACTCAGTAGGGTATCTCAGAGAGAGCTCTTTCCATGTAGTTTTGGGCCTTGGCTCCAATACACTTTTAAAATGAAGGTGCCAACTAACGAAAGCTAAGGGAAGAATGGTCTTTACCCTCCACATCTCTGACAAATACCAGCTGAAAGGAAGTGTGTGTTCCAGGGCCTGAATTGTTTTCTCTTGAATACATGGTGATGAAGGCGAACGCACAAGTTTTCCAAGTCTTTTTTGCTGTTTTATAAGCAAGCTCACTCATGGCTGAATGGCAGAGAGCAGTGATGTTTTGCCACTGGATTTACACAATGTTTCCTGGCTATACATTTCAGAAGAGCCTCAGGGCACAAGGTGCTCTGACTCCAGTGTGAATAGCCCTGCAAGGTGGTCACTGTTTGTGACAGCACTTGGCATGGCATGTGCCAAAGCGGAACTGAAAAATAATGGGAGGGGTAAACCCAGCGGTGGTGCATTGCTAAGGAACAGTGTCTGCCTGTGAGTCATGGTAGCTGTGTGATGGGGCTCTCCTCAGCTGAGGCCCAAGCCATCCCCTCATGTCAAAGAGCCTTCAGTTACTCAGCTTCTGCTCTCACTCACTGTACATTTGAAGAGACCCCACTGATATGATGCCAGCCGGTGTGTGTGAAGCTAGGTAACTAGCTGGAGAGTCACACCAGTGTAAATGCATAAGACCAGATTCTGCCTTCATTCTCTTGGGGGTACACCTGGAGTAATGCCATTGACATCACAACGACCACTATATCAGGATAACTGAGAGCAGAATATGGTCTGTGGAGTTCCTTAGATGTTGTACCCTCTAAGAAGGAGCCTGTGGACCAAAAGAAGGTGCCCTGGCTCCCCCTCAGTCTGGCAGTGCCAGGAGCTTGCAGGGGAAATCTTGAGGCACCTGTTTTACTCTCTGGGCCTAGCTGATGATGCAGCTTTTATCAGACTCAGTTTCAGCAGCCATGCAGTAGAAGCCCCCAAGATACACCCTCACCCACTTTCCCAGGGGTTTAGTATTTTTAGTTCTTCCAAAAGCAGAGGGAATTAAGATAAACGGCGGTTGACCAACTCTTTGCTGCCCAAGAATTCAGCTCTGTATGGCAGCCCTGACCCCTTTTGGGGAAGAGAGTGAGAACCAGGAATTTTCTTCAGATCTCACTCATGGCAAGAACCTGCTCTCAGATCTCAGAGCCGATGAACTTCTTCCTCCATCATGGCTCCGTATTCTACTGGTTCTACTCCCCTACACCTCAGCTCCCCTGCTGAGCCTCCTTTGTTCAGCCCAAAGTTGAATGTACGTTCCCATCTAGTTCCCATCACTAAAAATTCCCCCAACATAAACACCTCGAGAACAGGGAGGTGAAAGTGCACATCTGTGTTCTCAGGGCTTGCTTTGAAACTGGAATCACGCTTCTCTTGGGAAATGTTTGTGTTATGGTCTAACTTTATTTTCTGAATCACTGGCTTTTATTCATAGACTGTATTCTCAGGAGACAACCTCAGCCCTGGTCCTGGAAAAAATAAATACTGCTCTTTGGCCTATGGGCTTGGGGAAAAGCCAAATGTAATGTGTATTTCTGAGCTGCTATGTTTCTGTGTAATGTTGTTTGCATTGTTCCCCAGAGATCTGGATCGTGATGTCAAACAGCTGATTAGTGAGGGATCATCTTTCCTATTGGAATTCTAAGGAATTAAATATGTGCAAGAGCAATTCAATGGCCCTTTCACATGTGATCTCGATATTGCAACTACTCAGACCAAATGAGATGAGATTTGGGTCCAGTTTGAGCTGTGGGATATAGGGTAGGGCTGGAGCAAACCATAAAAGGGGAATGTAGGTCAGAATTCCATCTTTCCCAGCATCCAGAGGAATTCAGAGCCAGGGTTTTATCCGGGCCACATGGAGATGGCATCTGGTTGAGAATTATAGATCCTGAACCAAATTTTCCCCAAAGGGTGAAGGTGAGTTGGATGTACGTACGTGTCTGTGTGTGTCTTGGGGAGCCAGGGAAAGGGTCATTGCTTCAACAAATGTACAATGTCAATAATCGTCAAAGAATAGTAAGTGCTGAAAAGAGCTATTGATGTGTCCTTTTGTGAAGTTGGGACTGCTAATGGTTGTATGAACAGCAACGTGCCCTCTGTGTTTTGCAGGCTTGATCTTATTGTTTTACTTCATTTTGTACTTATTTCTGGCTGGGTTGTTCGCCTTCTGCATGTACGTAATGGTGCTCACGCTGAACCCCTACACACCGATATACAGGGATAGAGTTGCTCTGCCAGGTAAGCACCTCAACTCATATCCAACCGTGCTTTCTCAGAGCCCTGCTCACGGCTAGGGGACGATCAAACTAGCTGCCTGAATACACGCTTTATTTTTGCTCCTTCTGGAAAGAGCATTATTTAAACAATCAAAATTCCAGTTCTTTTACATATACCTTGAAGCTGAAATCTTCAGACAAAATCAAATGGTATATGTTCTCATGCCTAGAATAGTTTTTGGATGTAGGAAAGCACCGTGAGTTAAACCTTCTGTTAACATGGGAGAAAGCAGCAAAATCTCTCTTTGGGTGGCTACACTGACATCATAGAAAGAAGGACCGGAAGGGACCTGTAAGATCATCCAGTCTAGTCCCCTGCCATGGGTGGGAGGTAATTGGGCTCAAACGAGCTCAATGAGGTGCTTGTCCAGTTTCCTCTTCAACACCCACCAGGGCTGTTGATGATCTGCAGAGACAGTGGGCTGAATTCTCAGCTGGTAGAAATCCAGGCAGCAGAGCTGCCCAGATTCACACCTGCTAAAGACCTGGTCTTGTGGGCTTTGATGGTCAGGTACCTTCAGCTGTTTCATGAGGAGCTGAAGAGTCATGTCCATGTCAAGGGTCTCAGCAAAATGATTCTGTAAGTTCCTTGAGGCACGGCTTGTGTCTTACTGCTGCAGTCAGCGATCAGTAATGATGATGATTATAATTATAATTATACATGGGGATCACAATGCTGGACGCCTTCAGTTCACACACTGATAAAATGTCTGTGGCTAGTTAATATAACAGATTGTTTTATTTGCCAGGAGTAATGATTAGACCATACATACATGGGTTTACCATTGCCTTCAACGTATCAGAGCCTAGCAGCTGGCTTCCATATGTGGACAGTATGCACCGCTTCCTCACAGGTAAACTAGTTGGCTTGTATTTCAGTTACAGTCTGCATGTCTCAAAGGTTATAGGTACCCATGTACCTTTTCCAGCAATTAAGCATCTATGAACAAAATAGATCCCACGCATCATGCAGAAATGTTAACTTGGTATGGGTCACTCAACAACAGCTGCACAAGCTCTGACATCCTAAAGCAGCAGTTCCCAAACTGTGGGTCATCATGACCCAAATGGGATTGCAACATCATTGGATGGGGTTGTGATAAACAGGGATCCGGGGGCACAGGCGACATGTTGGAGGGGTGGGGGCAGGGCACAGGCAATGTGATGCGGGGGCGGGGAGCAGAGGGAGTGCAGCAGAGGGGGGCGGGAGGGCCAAGGCAAAATGGCAGAGGGGGCATGTGCCCCCTCCCCCTCGCTCCCAAGATTTCTGCACCCACAGTGGGGCATGGGGCTGCATCCGGGCTGGACCAGCTCTAGGTAGAACCTGCCTCTGCATCTCAGTGAATGGGACCCAGTACAGTAGGGAGTGCCGTACCACCGTGGCTGCCAAAGTGAGGTATGGCAGCATGGAGTTGTGCCCCTGCTGCTGCTGGGCAGGCAGAGGGCACCTCAGTTTGGCGGCCATGGTGGCGTGGTGGTTCCTCCCCCACTGGGTCCCTCCTGCTGGGCCATGGAGCCCCTGGGGGAAGGGCGGCAGGGCAGGGAGTCCCAAGCCCACAGAGGGCAGCCCGCATCCTCCCCTTCTCCCCAGCTCCACTCTGGCCATGCTGCCTGTGAGAGGGGCTGGGTGGTGGGGTGAGAGAGCCAGGCTCCATGCTCTGCTCTGGCTACAGCAGCCAAAGCTTCCCACAAGTGGCAGCCCGGGCTTGGCTTCTGCTGGGGATGGGGGCAAGGGGTTGTGGGCCCTGGGATACCTGGGGGGGTGGTGGGCTGTGGGTGGGAAGTGAGGGGCACTTGGGGGGGCGGGGGGGGATGGAGGGTATGTAATCATCTCTTGGGCTTCAGTTCCCCCATCTATAAAGCTTATAGTACTTGCTGCAGTATTAATATATTTTCCATGCAAAGGTCAGTGCAATTTTCATACCTTGAGCTTCTGCTTAGCCTCGTATTAAATCTGGACTCTTGGGATGGGATTTTCTCACTCTCTTAGGCACCTCCGACTTTTGTTGATGTGAGGATGTATCTACAGTGTGGGGCCCTGGACAAAGTTCTGGACAGCATTAACCACCTCTTGGTTCATTTTAGCTTACAATGACACCATTCAAGAGGAAAAAAACATTGAGTGCATAGCAGGCCAGTACTTTATTCAAGAGGGGGATGAGAGCGAGCAGAAGAGGGCCTGCCAGTTCAAGCGCTCACTTCTGCAGAATTGTTCTGGAATTGAGGATCCAACGTTCGGCTACTCAAGAGGCCAGCCATGCATTCTGCTGAAGATGAACCGGGTATGGAAAAATCCAGGCACCTTGACTCTTTAGACACTGTATAGTACTGTAGGTTCAGGATTAGGCTGGGACTGAAACAAGTCCAATTCTCTGATCTGATAACCTCCTGTCCCAGCATAAATTCAGCTAGAAAACAGCATCTCCATTTGCAGTATGGAGACATTCAAACAAGAAAACATTTCAAAGGCTCCTGCTTCAGGATTTGGTTAAGAACTGGGCAGCAAGAGTAGAATTATTTTCTGGGGCCTCAGCCAGCCATCTTCCAGATATTATGTTTAAGGCCACCTCCCATACTCTGATCTCTATAACCAGTTTGTTTTTTTTAAGAAGAGTGCATTACTTGAAATGAGTGCGTGCAGTGGAACCAATGTGTATGTTGTTGGTAAAACCACTTGTAGAGAGTATTCATGACCTGCTTGGAAAGGGGCCAGGCTCTCGGTGAAGATCAAGAGTAGTGTCTTTTGATACCTGACACTTCCTCTGTAAAGTCAGGATGTAAAGCAGCTATGTGAGGAACCACAGCTACTGGTTGTTTTAGTTTGGGTTTCAAAGAATGAACACGGTTTTGAAACCCTGTAGAAACTGTAGAAACTACAACACGAGGCCTTGCTGCAGTTTTTACTAACCTGGCAGGGAAAAAAACGCTTTTGTTTTTTAACTGGTTTCCTGCCTTCTTTGAGTTCTGGGGTCCCAGTCCTGTACAGAGGCCCTCAAGATCTTGCAGATTTGGTGTCCACGACAAGCAAGCACAGCAAATGCCATCAGCATAAATGGCCTCATTCCCTGCTTGTAGGACACACCTCTGAGTATAAAAAGCTTTTATTCAGATAAGCAACTTGGTGATAGAGAAAAATCATTGGAGTGGGAGCTGGGATTTGCATGGTCTTGCTCCCCATTTCACAGCATTGTGAATTTGTTTCCATAGATCATAGGCTACCAGGCTGGTGCCGGGACACCAGTGAGTGTGGACTGTAGAGTGCAGGTATGACTTTGATTTGGCTCGTTGTTATATTGCATAAACAAGCACCTTTCCCCCTTGGTAATTTTGGTAAAAGTACAGTGGGATTACACCTGCAGTCACATTAGCCCAAAACATTTGCTGTGTGATATGCACTGTGAGGTCTGCTGACCGTATGGGGGCTGCAGGCTGGGAAAGTTCTTGGAAGGCAAGTAGGGCCAA